ATTTGTAACGAGAAAGAATAAACTAGTTTTAATCAAGAGGGGACTTATATCGCTGAAGTTCCTCGGAAAGAATTTATACCGGAAATTAACAAACAAGCAGATATGTAACATTATGTTATCCTCAGGTGCAAGTATTTACATGAATATATTGTTACGTCTCCATTCGTTCGTTAATTTTCCGTAAAAATTCTTTCTGAAGAAACTTTACTGATAGAAGTCCTTTCTTAAATAAAACTGGTTTATTCTTTCTGAATATAACTTTGCGATACACTTAATTACAACAGTCGCGCTATAACAAACGCTATAATTCTCAACGAACGTCTCACGTGCTCGACTCAACAATACTTAGTTCAATTACACACATTACCTTCGTCACGTTGTGACAGTCTTATATATACTAGACTAACACATATCTACTAAACGCTAGAGCATTCATGAAGGAACAGGATATTTCTAGAAGTCAATGACGTGTTACCAGAGTCACGTGACCAGCGTTGTCGTAACAATATACATATATACACATATACAGTGTGGAACAAAAAGGTTTATTGATGTTTAGTTCTTCGATTAAAATTGCAGTGTTTTGTATAATTATACTGTGGTTTTTTTTAGTTGCAACGCAGAATAAAGGAAGATATCTTAATTGAACAAAACAGCCTCACCCTAAACTAACACCCAAGGGTACCAAGATACCTATAACAGATTGTGAAGCAATCTCCAGTCATATGACCTCTATATTCACGTGTCTCTGTAAGCTACTTGTACCTGAGAACGACATCATAATGTTGAAACGTCATACATTTACAATAAAGTTTTTTTTTCATTACCCAGTCAAGCCGTCTCCAAACTTTTATTTGCTATAGTCTATCACTTCTAAATGAGGGACAGTTAGCACAAGGCGCTTTCTTTAAAATATTTACACACTATGTACCTGGGGTAATATATACACTGAGGTATATAGTGTGTATCTGTGTATATCTGTGTACAGTGTATATATTACCCCCCACACTATATACCGGGGGTAATATATACACTGTACACAGATACACACTATATACCTGGGGTAATATATACACTGTACACAGATACACATTATATACCTGGGGTAATATATACACTGTACACAGATATATACACTATATACCTGGGGTAATATATACACTGTACACAGATACACATTATATACCTGGGGTAATACATTCATTGAAGTTCATTGAATTACCACACAGAGTAAAC